CAGCTTTTCCGGGGGGTGGGGTGGGGAGGGGGAGGTTTGGTGTCCTTGGCCTGGAGTGGAAATCAATAAGCAATTGTTTTTCTCTTGGCAAGAAAAGCAAATCTCCATTAACGTTCTCAGGTGCTGCCAGGCTCACTTTCTTTTCAGGAACTCTGCCGCCCTGGTAGAGGTGGCTCTGGGTGGGAGGACGGGCCACACGGCCAGGGCTCCGGGAGCCACACAAGAGCAGGCTGGCCCTCGCTGGTTTGGCTCAGTGGATAGAGCATCGGTCTGCAGACTGAAGTGTCCCGGGTTCAATTCCAGCCAAGGGCACATGCCCGAGTTGTGCACTGGATCCCCAGTGGGGGGCACGCAGGAGGCAGCTGATCAATCATTCTCTCATCATTGATGTTTCTCTTTCTCTCTCCCTCTCCCTTCTTCTCTGAAGTCAATCAATAAAAATATATTTTAAAAAAAGAAAAGAACGGATTGGTCTCTTGGACATCAGTACCTCCTAGGAACATTCTGGAACACAGCCTGGCAGGTAGTAAGCATTGAATAGGCATTTGTGGAAATAATAGCTTTTTGATCACTTGACCATGTACCAGGCAGGATATTGAGTGAGGGTCCATTTAATCGTCCTCATGACTATTGGGTGAGTGCCCATTTTATAGATAAGAACACTGAGGCCAAGAGAGGCTAAGTCACTTGTCCATGGCGAGCTCAAGCAGTTGAACTTCAGGGGCCCTGCTTTTCCCCTCCTGGGAGATAAGAACCATAAAAGGGATATGGAATGTAATAGCAGCGGGTTCACAGAAAACACTAAACTTGGGTTTTATTCTTTAACTGATAGGGAAGCCAAGACAGGACCACAGTTAAGAATTCTCAGATATTCTGATGCACTCTTCCCTTCTCTCACCCCACAGATAGCCTTATCATCCTAAGTCCTATCATGGCTACAGTTACCTTCTTTCCAATTTTTACTTTTTTAAAAAATATATATTTTATTGATTTATTTTTACAGAGAGGAAGGGAGAGGGATAGAGAGTTAGAAACATCGATGAGAGAGAAACATCGACCAGCTGCCTCCTGCACACCCCCTACTGGGGATGTGCCTGCAACCAAGGTAGTACATTCCCTTGACCGTAATCGAACCTGGGACCCTTCAGTCTGCAGGCCAACGCTCTATCCACTGAACCAAACCGGTTATGGCCCAATTTTTACTTTTAAACTAAAGGTACATACAGGAAAAGTAAGCCCTTCCCACCTAGTTTCCCCACTTGTGCAAACCAAGGGAGGCCACTGTTAACCATTTTCTCGTATCCCTTTCCAGAAAAATGCTATGCACGTGCAATCATGAACGCATGTATGGCCTTTCCCCCTGCGCCAGCAGCAGCATACTAATGCGTTTGTTTCCCCCCTGTAATAAATGGTGTGCCTTGGAGCTAATTCACATTAGGGTGTGTAGAGTCATCTGTTTTAAAAGAAAAGCCTGGTTTTCTCCTGGGGTATGTGCACCTCATTTTCATTTTATTTACTCAGTCCCCAGTGGATGGCCCTTTCAAACCACATTACCAAAACCTTCTCATTTTTTTGTGTGTATGAGATTGCCTGTAGATAAATATTCGGGTGCGGAATTGCTAAGTGAAAGGTCTGCATTTGGGATTTTGCTAAATATTCGTGAATTCCTCTTTGTAAGGATGGTGCCAATCCATACTCCCTGTGGCCTCACCAAAATAGTGTTGTTGTTATTATATTTAAAGTCCTTGACTATCCCATAGTTGGAAAAAGTGGTTTCATTGCCGTTTTACTATTCCCTTTTTAATTTTCACCGAGGATATTTTTTTCCATTGGTTTTTAGACAGCAGAAGGTAGCGGGAGGGACAGAGAGAGAAACATAGATTTGAGAGAGAGACATGGATTGGTTGCCTCCCAACCGGGGCCGGGGATCAAGCCTACAAACGAGGTACATGCCCTTGACTGGAATTGAACCTGTGACCCTTCAGTCTGCAGGCTGACGCTCTAACCACTGAGAAAAACTGGCTAGGCTTTATTTTTTCTTGATTTTGGTAAAATATACATAACAGGAAATTTACAATTTTAATCATTTTTTATGTGTATAATTTAGTGGTTTTAGTTAAATTCACAATGTTGTGCAACCATCATCACTACTTCTAGAATTTTTTTTATCACCTCAAACAGAAATTCTGTACCCCACAAGCAATGATTCCTTGTTCCCCCTGCTCCACCAGCCTCTGCTAACCTCTACTCTACTTTCTGTCTCTCTGAATTTGCCTACTCTTGGTATCTCGTATACGTGAGATCATACGGTGTTTGTCTTTTAGTATCTAGTTTGTTTCACTTAGCACATGTCAGAACTTCATTCCTTCTTTATGGCTGAATAATATTGCATTGTATGGTTAGACCACATTCTGTTTATCCATCGTCAGTTGATGGGCCCTTGGGTTGTTTCCACCTTTTGGCTATTGTGAATAGTGCTGCTGTGAACATGAGTGTCTGTGTATCTGTTTGAATCCTGGCTTTCCATTCTTTTGGGTATATACTTAGGGGAAGACCTCCTGGGTCACGCGGTCATTCTATGTTGAACGTTTTGAGGACCCACCAAACCATTTTACGGGAGTTTGACTTGGTAATTCTCCTAACAGCGGCCACGCATCGTGTCACGTGATTGGGTTTTTATTGTTTTTTTACTGTGAACTCTGTATTCATAAATTGTGCCCGTGTCCAGGCTGGGACACACGGTTATTTCCTCATGGCTGTTCCGTTGGTCTTTCCTCGCTGCATGAGAGCAGGGAGCCCATCTGCCTACATCGCTATCTAAATGGGCTGACATAGAAGCTGTTCCTGAAATACCTCTTTTAGAACGGTCCCAGGAGGGCAAGTGACATTTCTCTGCCCCTCTTCCACTTCCTCCAGGGAGCCCTGGCTTTCTGCTCCCATCTGTACCTTCCTCTTTATCCCCTCGCTGCCACCCAGTGTCATCAGGAGATAATTTATTCATAACATCTCTCCACTCAGCGCCTTTGTAATGTGGTGATCAGCACGAAGCTGGCACCGTCCACATCTGGGGAGGTACTCCCCGAGTCCCAGCAGCACCTGTGACAATTGTCCAGCAGAATTGGTTGAGCACGTGAACCAAAGTTTAATAATCTTCCGTCCCAGAGACGGAAGGAGTTGACAGTCTTCAGGGAGTGCATCGGTCTTTTTTTAAAAATTAACCATTTAAAAATATACAAGGCAGTGGCCTTTAGTACATTCGCAATCTATCCAGTTCCAGAACATTTTCCTCACCCCAAAAGGAAACCCTGTCCCGGTTAGCAGTCACGCCCATTCTGCCCAACACCTCCCCAGTCCTAGGCAGCCACTAATCTCCTCTCTGTCTCTGAGGATTTGCCTATTCTAGGCGTTTTGTATAAATAGAATCATACAGATGTGACCTTTGGGTCTGGCTTCCTTCGCGTAGCATGATGATTTTGAAGTGCATCTAGATCAGGGGTGGGCAAACTTTGTGACTCGAGGGCCACAATGGGTTCTTAAACTGGACCGGAGGGCCGGAACAAAAGCATGGATGGAGTGTTTGTGTGAACTAATATAAATTCAAAGTAAACATCATTACATAAAAGGGTACGGTCTTTTTTTTTAGTTTTATTCATTTCCAACGGGCCGGATTCGGCCCGCGGGCCGTAGTGTGCCCACGGCTGATCTAGATTGTAGCACATGCCAGGGTTTCGTTTCTTTTTCGGCCCGAATCATATTGCATTGTGTGGCTGGGTCCTGTTTAGCACATGCCAGGATTTCATTTCTTTTTTGGCTCGAATCATATTGCATTGTGTGGCTGGGTCCTGTTGTGCTTTATCCGTTGTTCTGTGGATGGACATGGAGGTGGTATACCTCGGAACAGAGTTGCTCGGTCATGTGGTACTTCTCTGTTTAATTTTTTGAGGAACCACCAAGCTATTTTGATACCCATGTTCTTGACCTCATGTTTGCCTCACATCTGGCAGGCACCAGCCGGGGCCTGAACTAGGAAAACAGCGTCTGGCTGCCCTGGCTCCCACTGTCCGGGCCCCCATCCTTTGTCCGATGTGACCCCTGACCCCCACTTGTTGGTTGAGGATCGTTGGCCAGGAGACCCACCTGCTGTGTACGTGGGCTTTGCGTTAGGAGACCTTGGACATAATCCCCTTCCTTCTCTCAGGCCTCAGCCTCTTCGCCTTTTACAGTATGGGGCTGTGACAGCCACCAGCAGCCTCCTGTGCTTGTGAGATTATGCTGATGTGCAGATGTTTTGTAAACTGTGAAGTGCTGTTTGAATCATCCCCATGGTGAAGTGATGCAGCCTGGAGGTGTTCCATTCGGCCTACCCAGTATTCAAAAATATTTGAAAGAATTGCTAATTAAAAAAAAAAAAATCATGAGATCTCATCTAACGTTCTGGGTTTAGGGCTTTTTTTGAAGAAAAAAAGGGGGGGGGGCGGGGAACCGGGCAGGACTAGGCCCAGATTCCTGCTTAGCCATAGCTGGCTTGAGCTGGAAATAGCTGCCCCCTCTGTAGGGGACCTGCGTGCTCTATTTTGGGGTTTTCTCATACTTGGTTCCTTCTGAAATTGAGTTTGGAATTCTTTTTCTTTTTTTTAAGTTATTGCCCGAGGATATGTTTTTATTGCTTTTTAGAAAGAGAGGAACATTGATTGGTTGTCTCCTGTATATGCCCAGATCGGGGATTGTACCCTCAACGCTAGGTATGTGCCCTGACCAAGAATCAAACTCACAACCTTTTGGTGTATGGGTTGGCACCCAACGAACGGAGCCTCCCGGCCAGGCTGAGTTTGGAATTCTTGTTTTTTCTGTGAGGAGGGGCTTTTACAGCAAGGAAATGTGGAGTGTTCATTTCTGTGTAGACTCAGAGATCAGGTTTCGCAAGGTTTTTTTAGGATGTCAACCCAGGCCCCAGCCCGGGCCAGCAGCAGGGTGGGCGCTGACCCTTCCTCTCTCTGCAGGTGGCACCGCTGCTCATGGGACTGCCCCGGAGTGCCCTTGTCAGATGAGGTCCACACATGCACCATGTCATCATGTGTCTCTAGTCAGCCCAGCAGTGACCGGGCCGCCCCCCAGGATGAGCTGGGGGGCGGGAGCAGCAGCAGCAGCAGCGAAGGCCAGAAGCCTTGCGAGGCCCTGCGGGGCCTCTCGTCCCTGAGCATCCGACTGGGCATGGAGTCCTTCATCGTGGTCACCGAGTGCGAGCCGGACTGCGCTGCGGACCACGGCCTGGACCAGGACCCGCTCCCGGAGGCTGATGGCCCAGAAGGCCCCCTCGAC